TCTGACTTTTAGAGCAAGAAAACAAACTTCTCTGGATTTTTTTAGGGTAGAAACAGAACTTTGTAGTAGAAAGTGCTGTCTCAATGCTCTGCTCAGCACTCCAAAGAAAGATGGTTGCAGTCATGTTGCAGAGCCATGACCTCCTTTGGGAAATGAAGCCTCTTCATCCCTTTTCTCTTTAAAATCACATAAGCATTTTAAAAATCCCCCTAAAGAAATTATGTTCTTTAGTAAATGCTTTGTAGTCTTTATTCTTTAAACTTTGCAAATGTTTATGGTTATATAATACTGTACTGAAGTTGTCAGTTATTTCTTGGTCACTTTTCTACTTAAGGATGGAAAATTTTATTGATTGTCAAACTTTTTCAAACCTAAGAGGTTCTTTCAAATGTTTATTTGTGAATGTAGAAGACCAGTGCCTTTACATCATAGCTGCCAAATGCCATCTCAGTATGTACAGATGCACACCCAAAAACCTCCTCATACTGGATGCTGTAGAAAACCCTTTCAGCATGAAATATTCACATTAGTTGGGGAATTAATTTGTTATCTCGTGATTCTTTTGCAAACTGAGGACGAGAAGGCAGCCTGCTCTCCTGGCTGGTCAGTTCTTCCTTTGATGCCTGTCTCAGGCTGAAGGGTCTTTAAGAAGCACTGGCACTTAAAAAAGCTGTTTTAAAGTTGAAAGACGTACATATAGGAAATAGAAGTGTTTGGACTCATTTGAAACAGCTTTCCACTCCTGTTAAACCTTGGTGGAACTAAGGGGATTTATCTGAGAAAATGAGTTGAATACAAGGATTCTCTGAGGATCTTCTCAGATTTTCCTTCTTCAGAGACAAAAGCAGAAGAAGATTTATAAAGCTGGTACATGCGTGTTTAGAGAGTGAGTTTGAGGAGCTGGTGACCCACAGGAGCAAGGAGCCAGCAAGCGGTGGGAGAGGTGACTTGTGGGTCTCGCCGGGCTGGCTGTGCCGTGGAGGGTAACATGGGCTCCCCATGGTGCTTTACCTTGGGAGCTGCAGGCAGCCGATGGCCTCATGTCTTTCAGATAAAAAGGAGCGAGCTGATTAATCTTGGAGCCAGAAGTGCCACAAAGTGGGGACTTCAGGGAGGATTTAGTTAGCAGTGGCCCAGATACATCAAACTGTCTCCTGCCTAAAGCAATATCCCATTATTGCTCCTATTTGCGCAACACAGCTTATGTTACTTATCCTATTAGATGGCTGATGCTGCTTTGACATATTCCTAGGAGACTGTGCTAAACTTTCTGTCACAGTTTTCCCCAACTGATTTCAGTCAATCACCTCCAATGGAGATGACCACCTGGTGGTGCGGTGATGTCCGTGTCCCTGCCAAGCAGGGAGGATCCTGGTGGAGTGGGCAGAGCAGCACCTGATGAGCTCGCAGGTGTCCAGCTACAGTAAAACCCTGACCCCATCATGTGCCACGGTTCACACAGGGCTACCAGGGGATGTCCTCAAACAGCACCAGCATCACTGACTCTCTTCCAGTGTGGCAGCAAGTGCTGCCTGGCTCTTGGCTCATAGCACGTTCAATGGGTGAAGATCCCATGGAGACACCTATAGATGCTCTTTCTCTTTGCTGCTAATGGCAAGGCATATCCCAGGTGTGCCAGTGTCACCCCTCCTTTTCTGGCTCCAGCCTGAAGTTAACCCAGCTAGAGTCTAGTTTCTTTCCAAAATCAGTGAGCTGTTGAACTGGACCAAAAGGCTCTGGCTTTGCTACGTACCTGTGAGCCTGGAGCATATTTTTGGGCTGGCAGTCTTGCTAAAACAGGAGGGGTTGTCGGCAGCTTTCCTTCTGAACAAGCGTGTGCTGGGGGCAGCACCATCCCTGGTACCAAAGTGCCAGTCCTCAGGTACTCTTTTGAGAGAGACAGCAGTAGATGGCCATCCCAGACACAAATATACATACTTATATATTTTCAGTCACCGTTTCACTATCGGAGCCCATAACACCATCCCTGTTACAAGATTTTGGTAGCTCCTCATGCGAGGAGCTGGCACTGCAGCACAGGCAGCCACACCGCAGAAGTGTGCAACAGGCAAACCCCACTCAACAGCTCAATCCCAACCCTCCCAAATTCCTGGCCAGGAAATATCTGTTCACAGCTCAGCATCGCCAGGGGAAAACCCTGCCTCGGGGTCAGTTACAGCTGTGGGTCATCCTGCAGGTGCTGGGGCCTCTTTTGTACCCATGTGGACAAGCAAGGAGCTGTGGCCACCTCTGCACCTGGAGGTGGCCTTTGCACCCAACCACAGCAGCTTTCCTTTGGGACCCAAGGGTCTCTTTGAGAAAGGGTCCTCTCCCCTCTCTTTGCTGATCCCCACTTGCTGTGGCCTAAAAGAAGCACTTTTTATAGGCTGGGAAGTGGGCAGGGAAGCTCCTCCAAATGTGTTGTGTTTTATGACTGGTGAATTGAGAGGGGCAAGGGGACACCGATCCCAGGGCCAAGTCACACAGCTCTCGCTGTAGCACAGATCTCACTATAGCACTCAGTGTTGGCCAAGATGAGATGATGTCAAGCTGTTGTTTAACCAGTTTTCCCTTTTGGGGGGAGTTTGGTGACCCCAGCTAATGGACACAGTGCCTCCTCCTGGCATGGTGTCTGTGCCCTTGCTGAGGCTTTGCTTCAGGTCCCCCAGAAGCCAGAGCTTCTCCCAGGCCACCCACCACCTCTCACCACTGCAGGACCACAGGGCTGGACCATGGTGCTGCTGAAACCATCCCAAGGGGCAAGGGCCAGTCTGGAGGGGACCTGCGGGCTCCTGAGATGCAGGAACCAGGACAGGGCAGTAATTGCTGCAGTCAGGGCTTGGCTGAGCCCTGCCAAGCCTGTAGCCATAGCCAAATTATTAGGAGAGGGTAGGAAGAAAAGTCACTTTTCTGCCTAACACCTGAGAAGGTATTTCATAAGACAAGTAGCCATGACCTTAAACAGTTTCCTATCTCTGGGCAGAGGGGAGAGGATGATGAAATCGAGTGTTGTAGTACTGTAAAGAAAATTATGTTCTGCTGAACTAATAAAACCTGGCATTCATGTCACTGTGGGGCTGCATATGCCATGAGTGCATATGAAAATTCACTGGCTTGAAAGTAAAAGGGTGTTAGAAGTGCCTCTTCAGAGGATGGCCCTGGGAAGATATGAAGATTTCTTCCATCCTTGGGTTTAGAATACGAAGGATTCATCTGGAGACCTGGATTTTATCAATAATGCTGGCAAACTCAAATGTCCTTGTGTTTCATCCCTGTGAACCTGGCTCCCTGCAGTGGCCTTGTGCGTGCTGTGCTGAGGGGCAATGCTCACGAACCTGGCTGAAGGGACAGCTTGGCCCCTTTGTGGGGAAAGCATGGCTGATGTGCAGGCATTGAGGACACCAGGAAGGTACCAAAGCTCAGCACAATTGTTATATATGGATATGAATAAGGGAGAAAAAGAAAGCAGGGACATCCCTGGGATCTTTCACAGTGCTGGTTTGCTGCATCCAGCTCCTGTCAGCCCTGGCATTGATCTGGCAGGAGGGACCCCGGACGCTGCTCAGCTGTGTGATGACCAGGGCTGGATCTCCAGGGTTGTGCCCTGCAGAGGTGACAGGAGGGAGCTCAACAAATGTCTCCAAACCCCTGTTGGTGGCATATTCAGGAAAAGTCCTGCTTGACACATGGGAAGTGCCTGGATGCCTTTGCCGCTCCTGGCCTGTATTTGTTCAGGTCCTGATAAGGGCTCTTATCCCTTCCAGGGATGAACATCCCTGCCGAGGACAGCCACACTCCTCCCCTGGCATGGCACAGCTACAAATCTTGTGACTCAAAGCATATCTACAGTAACTTTCTGGACTTCGAAGTGTCCCTGTGGAGTAGGCATGGGTGAGTATGAGTGTGGGGAGCACGACAGGGTGGGTTCCCCAGCCCATGGACCCCCAGAAGCAGTGCTGGTGGAGGGGGGGTGTTGAGACCTTCCCCCCTGGCAGAGCTGTCTGTTTGCTCCCATGGATGGAGGACTTACCACAGAGGCAGGAGATGACACAGGGCACAAAGCAGGGGCAGACTCAAGGTCTGTGCTGCTTCTCCCAGGGCAAGGGAGAAGGTTTGAAAGGGACATGAAAGACCCTGGGTCTGTCTTCAGCCCAGCCCAACAGCTCCCTGGGCAGTGTCAGGACAGAGGAGAGCTCAGGAGGGGTCAGGTGGGGGAAGAAGGAACCTGTGTGCTGCCCTATCCCAGAAAGCAGGGAGCATAGGAGGGTCAGACCAGCACTGGTTCATACTTGAGTGGTGCAGACCTGCTGGCTGTCCTGTAGACCTAGTCAATGGCCAGAGGGACAGGGCCTCTCTACACCTCACATCACTGCAAGTGCATTGGGAAGCGCTTCAGCAAGGCTCAGGGTCCAGGCAAAGCAAAGGCAGGTGTCCACAAACAGAGTCTACTCAGGGCTGTGCTCAGGAGCAGGGGCGAAAAAACCTATGGAGGGAAGGCCAGAGTGGGCTTTCCCCATGCAAGGGGGTCACTGGGGTCAGAAAAGATGTTGAATAAAGAAAAACATTGAAGCAACTCACTCATCTCCTAGAAGTACCCCTCTGTCCCAGCAGAGCAGGGACAGGTTCAGAGGAATGGACAGGTTAATGTCTAGCAGATAGTCGCTGTGCTTTATTTCTAGTCCAGCAGAGTCATAAATCTAAGTATAAATGTGTTAAAAATGTAAGATTGAATTTACCAGTATATGAAAAGCATAGGTTTCCAATTGCTACCAATTGTCCATCATTGTGGGGTGTCCAAAATAGAGGCACTGTTGGAAAAGTTATCCCTTTCCAGATATTTCACAATCCAACACTGCTGTAAGCCCAGAGGTGCACCTGTGATGCCATCTTTAAATGAATGCTTGTATTTTAGTCTTCAGATAACTATTATAATTAAGTTGAATAACATTATTATATTTATTTGATTGTAACTTTGGTTTTTTATTTGGATTTTCCAGAGTGTAGAAATACCACCTAGCTGTTTAGTGAGCTGGAGGGGCAGAAAATATTCCACAAGGTTTCTGTTAAAGTTTGTGCTTAAAGATAAACACTTTGGTCAAGTGTTTAGTCTTCTGATCTGCAAAGGAATCTCTTGTGATTGCTGGATTTTGCTCCCCAGATTTCCTGGGCACCTTGGGTTCTGCCAGGAAGCCTGGGGACAGCAGAGTCCAGCTACAAGATTTATGTCCGAAAGGCAACCTTGTGCCGACCTTGCAGGGTTGGGATGACTTGCAGCTCACTGCAGCTGGTTCCCCACTGTGTGTTTTACACCAGCAGTGGGATGCTCTGTTTGACTCCTACCTTGTCCCTTCCTCCCCCAGCTGTCCAGTGCGCTCCCCTCCTGCTCCTTGCCTATGTGTTGGCCCTGCCTGCCCCACATCTCACCAGGAACATCCAAAGCCTGTCCCTCTTCAATCAATCTGTCTTGAATAACACCATGTCTGCTCTGAACACATTAGTGAACGGTAGGTGCATGGAAGGTCTCCACCTCTGCCAGCAGGACATGGCTAGGGCCACCCCAGAGCGGGCTGTTGGGGTGGGTGTCTTCCAGCTCCATGCTCCCCCCAAGCTGTCAGCAGAGCCCCAGGATCCCTCAAGAGAGATACATGCCCCAGCATGAGTCACCTGCCCTTCCTCAAAGTCTGGTGGGACTTTGCAGTCACAGGTCTTTGCTTATGTGTAGGTGTGGAGAAGCCCAGAGAGTTTGCTCTGATCTCCTCCCAAAGCCAAGGCTGTCCCTCCCCACACAATCCCTGCCCCACAGGAGGACAGTAGGGACAGTCACTGGGAAAGATGCAGAAGAAAGGAAGGGTTCTCCTGCCACCAGCACCCCTAGCTATTTTGCTGATCCCATTGCTAAGAACTAGAAAAGTGGTCTTCTCCTGTGCAATACACTTGTCTGAGGGTACTTCACCAGACTACACCATCCCTTGTGTCACCTTGAGCCTTGCTCCCAGGGTACTCACAGTCCCACGAGGGTGAAACACAGTTCCTGCAGTGGTGGGAGAGGATGGCTGATGCCCACTTGGCTGAGGGAACACAAGGCAAACCCATGCCCAGTCTCTGGGGCCACAACACACCAAAAATAGTTGGAGACTTCAGAAGGCAAAGGCACCTTCCCCAGCTGGGACCAAGATTGGAGGTGTAAAGGCCCTACATTTTACTGCCTGGACTCCACTTCTTGAGTCAGAAAGTACCTCCTGATCTGAGTTCCAGCTTTCTTTGGTGATGTGTTGTCCTGCACCCCCATTTCCAAATCTCCTCCCTACTGTTGTTTTCCATGTTCCAGGTCAGCTCCAGCTAGTGAATGGCTCCAACCAGTGCTCCGGACGGGTAGAGGTTTGGTACTGCAATGAGTGGGGAACAGTGTGTGATGACAGCTGGGATGTGAGAGATGCCTCTGTGCTGTGTAGGCAGCTCGGCTGCGGAGATGCAGTGTCAGCCCCAACTAACGCTTATTTCGGGAGTGGATCTGGGACTATCTGGCTGGATGATGTTAACTGCAATGGGGAGGAAAAGCTCCTCACTGAGTGCTCGCTGCAGGCTTGGGGAGAGCACAACTGCAGGCACAGCGAGGACGCGGGTGTTGTGTGCTCAGGTGAGGATGGCATTTGCATGATCTGTGCTCTTCAGGCAATCCAGTTCTCATTAATATCTTGGTCTTGCGGAACCAGCCACAGGAGGACTACGGGATGTGCCTCTCTGTCTTGTTGCACAGGGTCTTATCTCACCCTCTCTCCTGCCCCAGGTTGGCCCAAGGACTGCAGCAAGATCCCCACTGGCAGCCCCAGTGACGTCTATGTCATCCAGCCCACAGGACTGCACCCCATCGTGGTGTACTGTGAAATGAATGCAACAGACGGGGGCTGGATGGTCATCCAGAGGAACCGGCAGAGCACAGAGATCACCTGGGCCGAGTCCTGGAGCACCTACAAGTACGGCTTTGGGAACGTGCACACTGAGTACTGGCTGGGCACTGAGTACATCCATCAGATGTCCAAGCAGAAGATCTACCAGGTCAGATTTGTCATCTGGGATGCTGCAAACAACACCAAGTTTGCAGACTACAACCTCTTCAGTGTGGAAGATGAGTCCCAGGGCTACCGGCTGAGGCTGGGAACGTACTCAGGGTTGGCAGGGGATGCCATGACCACGAACAGTGCTTCCACTATGCACAATAACATGAAGTTCTCTGCTAAAGATCTGGATCAGGACACTTCCAGCGGGAACTGTGCCTCCAGCTATGGGGTGGGTGGTGGTACTCAGCATGTTATTCTGTACAGCTGAACGTCGAGGGGGGCATAACATGGGGCAGCCTGTGCAATGGGAACTGCAAAGCTTCCGCCATCCTCATCAAACCAACTTCCTACTGCTAGTTGCATTTTCCTTTCTTTTCTGTCCCACCTGAGGCTAATTCTGGCTCTACAAAGAGATGGAAAAAGGCAAAACATGTCCTGGGGAGTCTTTGCTGAGGTTGGTCATATCCTAGCTACTGAAGAAAATAAGGCATCTTCCACTTCTCCCTCCTGTAGATTCCCTCTACTGCTCAACTGTGCCTTTACCCTTTTCAGAGTCAGATCTTTTTAATTATGTTAATAATCAGAACAGTCTCTTACAAAATCTGGATTTTCCATGTCTGTAGTGTGCTTCAGATAAAATGTGAAACAGCCAAACACCAGTGGATCTATATGGCTGTGTAAGTTAATTTACCTCCTTAATTTCAGGCAAACTACCTAATTTTCACTTGCTGAAGATCTTGCTCAAGATAGTAATGTGCACAGTCAAATTCCCACTCTGTGCCTTCTACATTTCAGGCTTAATAGTTGTTAAATCTTCAAATAAATATGTATTCAAAAAACTGTCTCAATTGTAAAAGTCTCTTTCAAATCTTTGAAGTGCTCACAGAGGTTAATGTGTTAGGTTTCCACCACTGAAGCTCAGCTTTCCTGTAGGACAGACATTGGGGACTGCAGGGCAAAAGCAATGCATAAATAAAAACTTAAATACTGCATGCAGGCTTCTGCCTTTGCAGACAATAGTTTTATGTAAGCATAGGAAATGTCAAAACATTTTCACTTTTCTCAGCAACAGTGAGTTTTAGGTTTTGTTGTCCATGCAACTCTCATCCCTAAGTGCTGTGGGGAGTCCGTCTCCTGAGCCAGGGCCACGATGACTTCCAAGAGGTGACAGCACAGAGCGAAGGCACCATCCTGCCTTTGTTATTTTGAAACTGAAGAGATTTTAAAGTGCTGTAAAATTTCCGTGTGGAAAGACCTCCCGTTTCCTGTAGTCCATCCCTCTGGCATCCGCAGGACTGCTCCTCACAGGCAGGGGATTTTGCCACTGTATCAGCCAGTGCGGTGGTTTGCAGGTGGGCACTGCTCCACTCCCATTGCTTACCACAGGGTGACTTCCACAGTCACCACCTGCAGAGAGGGGAAGCAGGATGAGTCCATTGGTGCTCTAATGTTTCCCTGGCAGGAAGATGTGACCTGGAAGCCCTCAAGCCCAAGGTGAGCTAGGGCAGCAGCCTGCCCTCAAAAACATTGGCATGACCCCTCGTCCTTGTGTCTGGACTTTCTAACAGCACACCCAAAACATTGCCTGGGCTTTCCAAGAGCTGAAGCACAGAAAAGGCTGCAGGCTTAACACAGCCAGGCTTAACAAAGAAAGGCTGCAGGCTTAGCACAGGTCATGTATAACTAACACTTCCCAGGAAAGATGATATATGTGAGGTATTTTATGTCTTTAGGGATTTTAAGACAGTGCATGAGAGGTATTGTTTGTGAAGGAGGGACTCAGATCTGAGCAAAGTGAGGGAGCACAGGAAGGGCTTAGAAGAGCTCTGGCACAAGATAAGCAGCAGGTAAGTGAACAGACAAACATTTACATTGATATGTGTCAGGACTCAACATTACAGCTCAGAAGCTGCAGAAGTCTTTAAGCAGGATCTCTCATCTCTGCCAGAGTCAAGCCTATGGACACACTGATTCCATCACTGACCATTAACTCACCAATGCAAAACAATGTTTCCCACAAAAATCATGGCTTTACATTTTTGCTGAAAGGATAAGTATGTTCCCTTCTTTGAGGGAAGAAGTACATCAGCTGGTGCCATCCCTTTCATCTTCCAGCCACTGTAGTATTAATGTGCTAAAAATGCCTACAACAGCATGTGAATTTTAGTGTCTTTGGCTCAGTGAGATGAGAGCTGCCTTCCTCATAAATGGAGAAAGATAGGCTAGCAAATAAAAATTGGTGAAAAGAAATCTTTTATTATCTTGTTATGCTTGTGTGGGATTTTTTTACAATATGGTTTTACTGGGTCTGTGTGTTTGCCTTTTACAGTGGTATTTCTCTCCCTGCCTCCTACCACCTCCTATTCAGGCCCCCTTTGCAGTGAGTCATGAGGTGCGTGACAGGCAAGAGGAGGTAGCTGGCAGCTCAGAACGAAGACTATACTCAGTGTAGGAGATAAAAACTTAAAATATTCTCAGCTGTCAAACTTGGGAATTTCCTTTTGCATTTACAGATACTCTTTTTGGCTAAGTCTCTTGCCTTAAGATAGATTTGGAGATGTGTGATTAAAGTGACCCTCTGCTAATGCCGTCCCCTCCAGGACCCGATGGGCGTGTACCCACCGTGCACTGCTGATATGGTGGAAGACAGCAAAGAGGCAGCAGCACCCACCTGCACTGTGTTCCCATCAGCACGTTCCCCTTCCACAACGGGAAGGAGGATACCACTGGGTATCCCATCCGCATGGTGAGTCTCCTTAGCTAGATGCAGAAAAGTCTCTTTTGTACCATGCCCTCTTGTTAGCCCTTAACAGCGTGACTTTTGCTTTTTCTACAAACTCTGGGGCTGCTGTGTGTCCTAAGGTCTCTTCTGCTCTCTCCAGAGAGGGTCAGACAGTTTGTCCCATAGTAACAGAGACATGGTGTGGCAAGCTAGCCCTCTCCAGCAGGGTCCTCTTTCTGGGCAAGCAAGCTAGCACACAACATCATCATGAAATGCACTTAAAATGCGAAGGCAATGTGAAAATAAGTGATTTCAGAAATGTAGTCTCATTGCTTACATTTGTCCTGGTCCCCAGAGGGTGCTCTCACCCCAGGGTTTGCCAGGCAGCTTCCACATGAAGGAATTGTTGCAGGCAAGGAGAGCCCAGAAATACTGCCTAAGGAGTCCAGCTGCAGACTGCAATTTTCTCTTCAATGTTTGTTGCTCTGTCCTATGGCTGCAAGGAGTGCTGAGCACAGGCTTTACACGTGGGAGAGTGTGAGCAAGGCCATCTGAGGAAGAAAGCACCAAGAATCTCACTGCATGGATATACAGCAGAAAATTTCTTTCTAGGCAGAGGGAATACAATTGGCTCTCTCTGAACTAGGGTTTCCCAACCTTTCCCAAACAGTTTAATTATTTGGGATGCCACCATCTCTTTTAGAGAAGAAACTGATATGCTACGTTCCCCCAAAAGTTTTTGCTACTTACCCTTAGCTATTACCTTGTGATCTGACCCACTTCCACTACACACTTGGCACTTCTTCTCTGTGCGAATGCACCCTTGGCCCTGGTTTATTCCAAGGCCACATCAGGTGATGTCTGTGTGAAGACTGGCTCTTGGCACCTGGCCAAGCAGAGAGAGGCACAGCACAGTGTGATGCACATGCTTCATGCTGTGCATCTGTCTGCATCTGCGATAGTCCTCTTGCACACAAGAACTCCATCCCCAGGGTCTCCTCATCATGGGCTTGCAGGAATACCCAGCCTCCTGCCATGGCTGAAGTGGCTGCTCAGTTTTCTTTGTGCCTGTCTGCCTGCTGGAGAACAGAGCTGTGTTTCCAGTTCCTAAATTTGCCTTTTGTGGGTTGTCTGTCTCCATTTCACAGCAACCTGGTCAAATCCTGCCCAGACTGATAAATCCAGCTCCATGGGCACCTACGTGCTTAGGGCAAGCAAAGGCTGGCCCCATTTATAGGCAGAGGAAGCAGAGAAGTGACACACTGTAGGAATGATATGGCAGCACCACCACAATTGGGACTGTCACAGCTGTGACAAGTGGCAGTCCTCCCCAGCTGGCCTGGCTTGCGGAGGAGAGAGCGCTTCCAGCAGCAGAGAGAGACAGAAACAGGGCCAGATCCCCATGGTGAGTGACGCATCTTCACATTCTAAGAGCAAAAGCCACCAGTGATTCTGACAAAGCTGTTCTCCTTTGCCTACTAGTTCTCACTAAGGCCATATTTCACTTTCACTACTTCTATGTTTCTAGTAGGAATGCTGTGCTTTATCTGGACCCTATAGCCATGTGTTTCCCAAGCAGTCCCTGGAGCCCTTTCTGGTGATGTGCAAAGATCATATGGGGTCACCTTCTCACATATGTCGTACTTGGCCACGCCAAAGGAGAGCTTGCCTTGGCACCTGGACCCTTCGGTGACTTTAGAGTGTATCATGAGATTAAGGCCTTAAATATGACCCCTGTAACACAGCACCGAGCCAACAGGCTGCAGGCTAGGTGACAAAACTGCACCACTACCCCCTGCTTCCACCTTCTCCAACCTCTGCTAATTGAGCTCTGGGATGATAATGGCTTCTGCAATAGTTGTTGACATTTTTTTGATTACAGAAACTCCTAAGAAACAGGCAACAACAGGCACATTGTATCTGTTCTGAGCCAGCAGTTTGGAGATCCAGCTTTCCCCAATTAATGTTTTCACAGCAAGACTGCAGATGACCATACCATTGTGACACTGGAACTTGCCATCACCTAGGGGTCCTCAGCCTCTGAGGTGGGTCTGCATCTCAGCAACATCTTTGTCAGGGTTTCTCTTCTGCCACCACCTGTGGCCTCAGTCAGGGGCACTGAGGAGGGCTTGAGCGTTCCTAGAAATTAAGGGATGGCCATGCCAGCTCCTAGTGAAGAGCCTCAGCTCCAGAGGGATGTGGGTACAGTGAGCCAATGACATGAGATTTCAGTCTCTTCCTCCATTCTTCAAATGCCTTGATGAAGAAAAGCCAGTGACACCATGGGAAATCTGGCAAGACCACCAGCATGGCACCATCTTCTTCACCCACCCCTGCAAAGTAAGAACCACTGCAGGCACTGCTAGCTGGACTGCATCCATGTTTCCTGTGCCAGCATCCTGCCGTCCAGTCCTTTAGCTTTATTCCAGTCCTCTCTGTTGGTAACAATTTGGTGTCTGGGATGGAGCCTGCCTACAGGAATTTCATCCACTTCCTGATGGAAAATGTGGGCCTCAGAATCGTCTTCTAGGAAATGTGGTGAGCTTGCACAAGCAGGAATGATGGGGTTTAGAAATAGAGATCCTAGGCTATCTTCTGCTACTACTATATTGGGAGGGGAGAGGGGGCAGCGGAT